CCCTCTCTTTCTCTTTCTCTTCTTTTCATATATGCTCATGGTATCTTCTCGGTAGAGCGCAGTATCATTAAGGAGTGGATAAGAGCTAATACGTACGTAAGACCTCCTCGGCACGAGAGAGTAAGAACTATGCGCAGGGGAAGAGAAAAGATAAGTCGACTACGACGCAGAGAGAAAATATATAATGCGCGCACATAAGGCTCAAAGCAAATAGATGCCTGTGAAAATAATGCAAATTGCCTTTATTAATATTAATGATTGTTGCGAGTATACGCGGCCAACGGGTCTAATTAAAAATTATGCAAAAACCTATGGGGTAAAGTATTTCTGATAAATTGTCAATGTTTGTGTCGAGAATTTTATTAACGAATATTCAATGACCGTACACATTTTCTTAATATCGCTAGACATACTCTTGCGATATGAATCTAAATTCTAAACGATGATATTTCGTGTATTTAATTTAATGATCATCCATAACGACAAATAGAATTCCACGATAAATAAAATTTAACGTTGATTCATGCGCATATGGTTGCTTCAAGAGCATTGTTTTAATTGAAATTATAATTAAAGTGAAATTTTTAGACATTGGTTGATTTTTTTTCTTGCTAATTTTAAGATTTCTACGACGATACATTATGCCATCGAACATTTTATTATCGCTATAAATCTGATTACAATTGACCGTAATTTATTCTGGGCGACATAAATTACTGATATATCCGAGTGCATACTGTATTTTCATTTGAATTCGTTGCAACATTCGTGGAGTCTCTCAAAACTGACCTGGACTTTGTGATACTTTAAATCATCAAATGAGAAAGATAGAGTGTAAGTGAGTGAGGGTGAGCGAAACAGAGAGAGAGAGAGAGAGAGAGAGAGAGAGAGAATGAGAAAGAGAGGAAATAAAGAGAAAAGGGACAAAGGCGAAGGAGTATAAGCAACCGTACAACATCGCGCGCAAATTTCACAAGATAAGTCTAGCTAACCCAATTTATCTGCGTAAAATATTCAGACGTTAGGTACACTTCCTAGTTCGCGTATATTTTATATAGACGAGTAGCGGACTCGCGTTGCATGGTTTAGCTTATATAAAAGCTCATGAGTGCGACTCTGTGGGAAAGCACCGTAAAAATGATGAAAGAAAGACGGCCAAGCCGCGCGGAGAAAGTACACAAGGCGGAGAGAGATAATGGATTCAGATGAATGAAGGGTCGCAGCAATTGCGAGTATTGTGCATGTAAGTGTATGTATGCATTATTTGTAGCAATACCGGAGAATACGGATGAGAGATACATAAACATGCGGTACTCGGACATAAAAATACACCATGGCTACGAGTGTGGTAATGTATGTATATGCACGCGCGTATATGGACAAACAGAGTCCAGCATAAGTTAGAAATAAAATATAAAATTATGTATATTCGCGCAATGCTTTCCGCGTGTATGAACGCCAAGTCGCACACGCATGCATCCACTGGCAGCTAGAAAAATATTCACGTACGAACATCACGTGCGTGAGCGCGTCTACACAATCGCACCAAATATAAAATGCATTACGTATACAGGTAAGGGCTCGTCAAGTTATGCTACGCTCAAGCACAAGAAGGAGAAAGAAAGGGGGAGATAGGAAGGATGTGTGAGAGAGAGAGAGAGAGAGAGAGATATGCATGGAGTGAGCAAGCGAGCGAGTGAGGGAGAGAGAGAGATATGCGTGGAGTCAGCAAGCGAGTGAGCGAGTGAGTGAGAGAGAGAGAGAGAGAGAGAGAGTGAGGTCGGGGCACGCATAGACCTCGTGCGTACGCGAGTACACGAGAGATGCTATGGGGGCGTAGACATGGGTGCGCCCGGTGTGTGTGCCTTCAGCCAGGCCGAGCCGCCTGGGCACGGACCATTATTTCATATTTCATTTTGTATTTCAACTCAACGGGCGAAGACGCTAGCTAAAGGCCTTATTCTACGCTCCGTGCCAAGGAGGCGCGCACGGCCAAAAAAAAATACGAGCGAAAAACTCAAGATTACGAGAGGCGGAAGAACGAAGAGAGAGAGAGAGAGAGAGAGAGAGAGAAAAGAGAAATCGACCCGGGGCTGAGGGAGGGATAAGGAAAGAGCAAGGAAGCTGGGTTAGGGGGCAATGCAGCGCGCGCCTTTGATCGATGAAGATTTTTAAGAGCTTTGGCTTTATTATGCTGCTTGCCATGTAAAAAGGCCGAAGAGGAACCTCATACCGATCGGACTGATTGAATGAAGGGATTTATTAAGAATTACGATGAATTTTAAGGACGAGCGATCTTGTATTTTTTATCCTTTACAAAGTAACCTGCCAGAAAACTCGAGAAATCGCTAAATGGACGGAATCGCCAATTTGTCTCTGATGCCGTCCTCATGATCGAATAAAAAGTCGAGTAATTGTAGAGTGTTTTTGTAGTAATATTAAAATGATAAATCTCTGGAGCCTTTTTTTCAGGCAAGCCATTGAGAAATACATTTGATAAATTATATAATATATGAATATATCTATTCATATAACTTTGTTTTTATAGATTTATTCAGATATACGTCTTTTAAGTGTCTTTTTCCTCTTCAACCCATTACAGTCTGTAAAAAAAAATAAAATAAAATAAAATAAATAAATAAATAAAATGAAAGCCAATATAAAATTGATATTTCTATAGAGAAGATTCAATGAAATATATGGATAAGCACGATCGACAAAGAATGATCTACACTCTAAAGAAAAAAGAAAGATTCGATGAATAATTTAACTTGAAAAATATACGATAATTATATAAATATGTAACCGAAGCAGTGAAGATAACTTTTACATTCCTTTACTCGTCTCTTCCACACAACAAATCGCCTCATAATCAAAGTTTTGTTAAAGCAGCTGTGAGATGAGTGCAATTCAAACGATAAGTCGGCGAAGTATCCAAAGACCATCGTAATATTAATAAGACCACGATCATTCGTGATTTCGGCTTTGTGCTCTCGTGTTTAAGTGCCGAAAAAGAAGGGTAAATTAATTAAGACGTCGGAGAGGCGCATGGACGCACACGCTGCCGTCGGCTAAATTAAAGGGACACGCTCGACCATTAGAATGCTTAACGAGGACATCGCGAACGTGGACCTCACCCATAAGCAAGCGACACCCACACACCCACATCCACCCCCGCGCGGAGTGCGTTCGCGAGAGTGCGCGGGTGTGATGATGAATCACTATGGGCGAGCGCTGCTGCGGCCATCTCCGATGTTAAATTAAATCTACTTAAGCCGAAAAATCTCCATTTCTCTTCTTCCTCCTCTCGTCTTCTCGTTTTCGTTCGCTCGCCTGTCAATTGTAATTTGGCTCCCTTTCAGGCGCATAGGCTTCGCAAATACGTCCCTTGGGTAACTTGCCGATGAAAGAAACCAGAAGAGGAGGCGAAGAAAAATGATGCATAAATAAGGAAACGCAGATTTGGCTACGAGCATCGACGTTTATCACGTAAAGCAATGATCAGATACTAAATTGTGCATGACATTGATTTGAAATTAAATCCTCGACTCGCTATTATTGCGCATGTGTTCGAATAGAAACAATGGTATTTGAGGCTTCGAATAAATATCTTCAATGCTATTATTTCATACAAGAAAAAAATCCATCCATGATATTAGACTCAGTCTCAAGAGTAACATCTTATTAAAACTATAATACAGATTAGCATTGTTAGGCTTTAAGAACTTTTCCGTTCATCAGCTACAATAGAATATCCGTTAGCTGCTAAAAAGGCTATTTTTCCAGCAAATCGAGCACGAAATATCGTAATTCATCAAATTTTAAGAAGAAAAACGTACGAATTTCTTCGTTTAAATAATAGTTTCCTAAAGAGCTACCTACGTATTTATTAGAATAACTAACAGAATAAAAATTTCTAAAATACAATGGAAAGCGCGCGTATTTCAGCTGCTCGAATAATGACTGACAGGCGTGCATAAATCATCGGTCATCGTTGCTATCTATCTAAGGTGAAGAAATTATTGAGTTGCGAAGGTACGCGCGTCAAAAT